TCACTTACCTACTTGATACTTGAACGGCCCGTCATCACTAGTCATGCGAGCCCCAAGCACAATCATTATTTTTCGGACATTTGCTGGTTAAGCCATTGCGTTTCCCTGGAATCAAGCGGACAGCCCGGCCAAAGTCTTCCCCAGGTCGTCACCACGACAGGCAGTCGCAGCCATTGTCGATCAGGGGGAGATTTGCCACTATGCGACTTTGATACCAGGACGGTGGTAAATCCCGGTATTGATATACCCTTAGCTAGGCTTCCTGATGGAAACGCCGGACTCCTCAGCTTGGGAGACCCTGCCGCGGGGCGAATTCCCCGCTGTACATCGCAGTCCGACACCCAAGAACACCTCCCAGCCACGATGAGGCGGTAAATCATTGGGAGGCACCGTTTTCGCACGTAAACTAAGTCAGATGAATGGTGATGATGAATTAATTTCAGAGATGAATTGAGCGACATCATCTAACAAAACGGAAACGAGCTTGGACAGGTTGCCTGAATTTCAAATGAAGTGCCGTTGATGATTTCAAATCAGAATCAAGAATAAAAAGCGTCCTTTCTGCAGTACTTGGATAGTTGGAATAATCCATTATGATGAGCAGTTCAGAATGCAGCATCCGTGATCCATAATTCGTTTCTGGATTTGACGGAAACTGCCGTTCATGACATAACTTAGAAAAAATGGATTGATTTTTTTTTATAAGGCTGAGATATTTGCAAAACTCCGGACCGCAGGTGTATGCGGTAGGAAACGAAAGCGTGCTATTGTCCTTTCCGGGGAGTAACGCGTTCACCACCACACCATCCGGGTCCTTCGTTTTCCCTGTCTCTCAGCTAGTTCTATTGAGTTTTGCAAATATCTCAGCATTATATACAAGTTATATTTCGCAACATACACTGCCATTAAAAAGAAAAAGGCAGTAAATAAAAGGGTTGAGATTAATTTTTTATTCACTTCATCGTAGAATGTAGTTTGATTTCTTTTCAGATGTACAAGCACCTTATATAAGCAGAAGTGAGCACAGAAAGAAATGAATGGGAGGAACAGAGTGGTGACTTGTCAATAGTGAAGGTTCGTTCACGGCGATTCCCAGCTCCTTTAGAGTTCACTGACATGGCTGTGCCAGATCAGTGCCAATTTTTTCCAGTGCGTCTAGTCCGACTTATTAGCACGTTCTTCCGATCATCTACTATGGTATAACATTTAAAAAAAAGATAACTTTTTAGATGCTCCGTTACGGCGCCCAGTTGTTGCCCATGGAATTCGCTAAGGTTATGTATTTCTAGCAAATCGTTTCTCTTCAGAAGATGCTTTTTTCTGTTAAACAAGGTATGCTTGAACCAATTTTTCATTTTTCCGAGTTTGAATCCAATTCATTACCAAAGAATCTTTCTCACTCCTGTGCTTTCTATACAACATAGTTATACTTACCTATTGTTTTGAAGCGAGTACTTTTCGTCTAGAAAAAAATGAAAGAGCAAACGTGAGTTGCAAACCTACGATTACAATATTTCAAAAACCGGCTCTTCTTTAATTTCGGCTCAATTAATCGCTATGTATGTAATTGATAAGTTAACACGGTGCTCATAAAAAAATTTATTCGGCCAACGTCTCAGCTCCTTCCTCTTCTCCAGAGCCGAAGTGATCCGAATTGATTGTCTGCAATCGTTTCTTCTTCCGGTGTGGATCTTTGTGGTCGCGTAGTGTGGAATCCACAGAGGTATCGTCTGAGCGAAGTAACTTTCCTCGGCAGTGCTTTCTCTACGATTAACAAAATCCTCAAAGCGCAGATAAATGCATTGAGTGGGATACTTTATTCCTTCAAAACTATGTTGTTGTGCAAGAAGCGAGGCCCCCATTTGTAAGCCGGTGGTTTGCACTTTTTTCGCACTTGGCAAATATCGTTTACTTATTCGGATACCGTCAGCTCTCTACAAAATCTTTTGCTGTGTCATCCCGGAAGAATTGATAGAATATTTTAAAAACAATTAGTAAAGCAGCTATTCGAAGCCGATTGTAATAGTTTATATCCACATTGTCACCAAACTCACTGAAGCATTACCAGGGAGAGTTGAGAACAGCGCAATGAATCGCTCTCACTGACAAAGGATAACATTTGATTCAGATGAGCCGAAAAATCTCACCGAAGCTTTGTACAACCACTGTATCATTGTTCAGCAAGCAAATTCATGAGCAAACGTCATGGATAGAATTTTGCTATGCTACAAAAGCATCGTCGACCTAAAGAGCTGAACCACATTCCTACCGATTTCGACGGTGTTTGTCGAAAAATCCATCATCGATGGAGTTTTAAAAAAACGACATTTGTGAGAAATGAATTTATTCCTAATATCTCATTTATACACAATCGAAGGGTTGCATTCGAAAGCTTTGCTTCAATGCCTCATCTATTTATAAATGATTTTGGTTTCTAAGATAACGGCACTCCAGGTGAACGAAAACGATCTGCTATTGTGCCTAGAGCCTCAGAAGATACATCGTATCTTCACCTAATTGTAGCTTCATTCTTCGCTGCAACTAGAGTTTAGCGCATAGGCGACGAAGATTCTCGAAATAAGTAAAGGTAGAACCTTTTTTGTAAGCTGGAATTCCGATTCGGTTAGATGGCTGTATAAAAGAATCTGTGCTTATGCCTTAGCTCGTATTGATAAGGAACAACATGGCTGACTCTTCACTTCGTTCCAATGAGGAATTCTTCTCAACTGTCATAAGAGGTGTTTGATAAGAGAAACCTCGTCTCGCTCAGGTAGACGATGACTATCTACATAATCTCCTCCTGCATCACTAGGCCCTCAGTGGAAGGATTAGGTGATAGCGTGTGTATTGAAAGTACAAACCATTGCTAAAGTCCTTCAAAATTTCGCAAACTGAACTGATTCTGAGTTTTTGGCAGCCTTCGATTCTGGTTCTTGTCAACGATGCTGCATCGGAGATGGTTTACGATTACAAATATCGAGTTTGTTATTTTTACTGTTTTTCAGTGAAGGGTAGGTACTTCAGTGAAGGTACTTATTGGCAAATAATCTAGCCCTCCAGTTGCATCTCAAGGATCCATTTTTGTCTTTATATAAATGCATAACATTCTTTGATGTGGGCTTAACGTTCTTTGCTCTGCTTGAGTATGTGCTATGCAATTTTGCGACTAATCTGCTGATGATCGCTAAAGTAATGATGTCGGAGGAATTGCATTGAGTGAATGTGTAGAATAAACAAAATATTGTACTTGCACATATAATTTCTCAAGTCTTGAAAAAGTGCAAACTGGAACAGAAGTGTAAACTTCTTGGGTGGCTACTCTTACTAATTACGTGTATAATTGGCACATTTATCACTGTGGGCGGAAAGTCACGTGAAACGCAGTAGTCAGAGGCGCATAACAATGCATATTGGGTCGTTCTCTGGTTCGATCGTGTGCTTATGGCTCATCACGTTATGCATCCATCAGGGATCGTCGAATTTATACTAAACTTCTCTCAAACCAGCCCACTTGCTCAAATCCACATGGAGACACCCTGAAGCAGCTACTACAAAACTTTAAGAATTGACTCGACTACCATTCGATGACATTCATCGCGAAGGCGAAACTGCTTAACCATCAAACACACGCGAAAATTTCAGACACCCTCGTGGATGTTGGGTACAAGGAAAAGAATCGAATGCAAGAATTGCTGTGATCTTCACAGTAGATGTGAATCCTAGTCATCTAGAATAAATTAAATTTCTGTCGCAATTTAGGGATTGAAGGTATGAACAGAGACAGAGCTGCAGAATTATGCAGCACTGCAGCGAACTTCTTTCGAGCTATAAGCCACAAATTAAATGTACTCCTCGCAACCTATATGACGTCTCACCCCCGAAAGGAAAAGATCTCACTGCAGTGAAGTAACTCGCATATGACCATCCTCTTCATTAAGAATGACTCAAGGGATTTTCGTAACTGCCCTGCAACTTTCTCTTCTTGGGCATACTTCACCAACTTTCCACGAATACCATTTTGTCGCTTGTATTAAGGACTTTGATGAGGCAGAACTAGTTGGGCAACGAGGGTTCTGACAGAGATTCTGCTGCATGGACCAGATCCAAACCATGCAGACGCTCATTGAAGTCTGCGGAGATTCCACATCCTCTTATATTGTAGCCTTTTCAAACTACAAAAAAACGTTCGTCCACTTCGAAATTGATGTAATTCTCTCACATCTCATCGATCACGAAGTGCGCTCTTCCCACGTAAGGACTTTAGCTGGCCGTTATCATAACCGCACAGCGAAAATACACTTTGTTACTCATCTCCTTGTCATTCCCATTTAAAAAGGAATTCGACTAGGTGAAGTCGTATGGATGGAGCAGAACGAAAATAATTGTAAAATGAAAATGCAAGCACAAGGGGATGCAAGCACAATTAGGGACGACCATCTACACGATTGGCAAACACCTTTGCCAATAAAATCAATCAGGTGCATTTGCAGATGCAAATGCTCTGCAGATCACGGTGTGACACTCCCATATGTCAGCACACCTGAATCAAAACAACATCGTGAACGACGCAAAGAAACGAATAAACAGTGTGCTTGAGTTCTCACACATCTCGTAATGATGCGTCGTCCAAGTATCCATGTATATACGAAAGTTATGAATTGGATAACTGACCGAACGAGATAGCTGATTTGGCTGTCACCGAGATTCCAATGAGGATCCAGTATTCTCCGAAATTCATAAAGAAGACGAATTCTTCAAGCAGCAGTCGAAGCGACAAGTTTGTGGACGATAAAATGCGGTAAGACGAGTCGAATAGAATAAGTGCTGATACTCGCATAGTAGATGTGACGACGGGTCATGTAATAACAAGTGCATTAACATTTTGTTCATGCATTTTAATTGTATTGAGAATACCAAAGGTACGTTTTTGGTAACAAAATGAAACAAAGGAAGCTGTTCGTTCTCCATGGGAGACATCTGTATTATAGTGTTCAGCGACTTCAGTCGCATTTAACACAGTTGCCACTTTTGTCTCTTCGATATCCTTTATGTGTGGGACACTGACACTGCGGCGGTTTGCACATGCGAGGGCACGGCTGAAAATCATCATTTGATTAAAAAACAACAGTGAAGTTCATGTGAGGCTGAACTAACAAGTAGCGCTTATCGTTACATGAATTCACGTAAAGCAAGGAAACGCTAGACTATTGCATTGGTTAGGTGGCCGAAACTGGTTCCACTTCATGCAGTCGCATGCTTTCATTAGAAAATGTCTAGAGAACGGCCAAGAGAAATTCTCAGGTGCGAAACGATAGTGCAATAAGATTTTATAAAAGCCTTCATATTCGGTTTCTGATAGGTCCATCTCTTTTGCGAGGTAGCCAAGCGATTCTTAGCCCCACTGCTGAACATGCGGATAATTGCATAGTTGTTGGATAACCAGAAGAGTTGAATACTTGGTAGACTTATACAAGAGACTTCATATTAACGTTCTAATTACATGCACTTACCTGCAAAATTTTTTTTCTCCTTTCTAGCTAGGCGCTCATAGCACAGTGGTTGTAGAAGGAATGCAATATGTTGACTGAATGGAACGCTAGTTTGACTTCATGCCACGGGTCTACTAAGCCTTCCATTCCTCCAAGATCGGCAAATTGATATCACACTTGTTTTAGATGATGGTCGCACTGACCTCATAGGTCGGTGGGCCACTGCAGGTTATCGTATAGTAAATTTCCCCACATTCAGAAGATTCCTGTGGATTGGCATTGTTTTCATATTGATACTTGGATCCTTCGATGACCCGTTTTCACGAGTAGTGCAGCCAGCACATTCTCAATTTTTTTTATTCTCGTCCAGTGGTCGCCCATAGGGGTGGTCTACTTCAAACCAGGTCTATCATAACACAACTGGCCCATCTGTGCCTCACTATCCATGTAAATTCACTTGGATCTCGAAAACGGTATACATTTTACACATACGAGCTGCGCATTCCTAGACGTTATGAATGTCGGTTAAATTTCAGAATACGTCGTTCAAAGCTCTACGAGTGTTGCGCAGAATTCTTGAAATGATTGTGGTATGAGCCCACAACTCTGCTGCATAACAGGGAGCTCGTAGGACCGTTGAATCGAAAAGGTGAACGCTGGTTTCCGAGTCCATTAGTAGTTTGGTACCTTCTGTGGTTGGCCCGAATGTGGCCCATGCGGCTCCTTCCTTTTGTCTAATTTTTCCTTCATATTGTTTTCTATGTTCTCTGCTTGCCGAAGCTATACGTATAAGGTAGAATCTGCAATCAGCGAGCCATCCAGTTCAATTTTTTCTCCTCCGCACCATGGGTGTATCATTCTTCCAAACTGGGTCTTCTTCCGATTTATGCGCACTCCGGTCATTTTCTCGTTGAGCTCACTGATCATCGTCTCTGCTTCAATGGCACTTTTCGAAAAGATGAAGATGTCATTCGCGATACGAAGATTTGATAGAAACTTTCCATTAATACTTACGCGCTACTCATCCAAGTAGAGTGATTTCACTATCCATTGCAGTGCAGCAGTAAAGATCATTGGCGACATGGTATCGACTTGTCGAGCCCGTTTCCTTGTGTGTACGGTGAAGGGGCTATGAATAAACTGTATATTTGTGCTGCAGTCCCGATAATAATCTGCTAGTTTTCGCGTATTGGACGGGCGTCTTTTCCTTCGTAGAAAATCGCTAAAAAATTTCATTCACTTCGCCGCTTTCGAGCGCCTTTTCATGGTCGACAAGGATCAGAACTAGGGGAAAATGACATTACCGACAAAATGTTTAACGTTTTGTTTTCTGCCTTCTATAATTTTCATGGCAGGTTACTAAGTAAGCGAAATACAACCACAACGTTGCTGAGATATTTGCAAAACTCTGGACCGCAGGTGTCTATGGTGGGGAACGAACGCGCTATTGTCCTTTCCGGGGAGCAACGCGTTCACCACCACACCATGCGGGTCCTTTGTTTCGCACGTCTCTCAGCTATTTCTATCGATCTTTTTGCCACAGCAATCACCCGTCAGCGGGGTTGATCTGGGGAGCGCAAATCGGCATAGAACCCAGTTAAGCTATGGCTGTAGTTGAAAATATTGCAAATATCTCAGCAACGTTGTGGTTGTATTTCGATTACCGACAAAGTTCTATTATCCCGGTCATAGCTTGGAGGTGGTCCATGTAGCAAAATCTCTATCGAAGTCTTGCTTGCTCAAATGGTTGTACTCCATCCATTGCCGCAGTAGGATAATCTTTGTTAAGAGCTTCTACAGTTCACGCAACAAGCATGGCGAAACACGGTTACGAAGATCCCTTCAGACACCTTCCTTGGGTAGGATTACTGTGCGCGACATTTTAAAATGGTGTAGGATTTTCTCCTTTTGAAGGCAAGATGTAACAGGAATTGTGAAAAGTACACGTAGTTTTTGGCTTCTGGCTTGAAGCAGGTTGGCTGTATCATTATCTTGTTCTACAGTTGAGATTTACAGACAGCTTCTCTTCAATCTTTCGATAGCAATTTCGGGGTCTGAGAGATGATTGTAAAACTTGAACGGTTAGTTTTAGACGTTTTTGTTATCAATATTACATAATGGCGTGATATCGCTGCACTCTCATCTTCGTTTATCACCGTGGCTAACAGCGGAATATTATAGTCATACAGGTCCCAGCAGCACTTCAGACATGCCCGTTATGAAATGCCTCCAACAACCTTTTCTGCTTCTACCAATGAAAGCTCTCTTGCAAAAACTTTCTACACGTAACACTTATTCTCAGCCATGTCAGATGTGCTGCACCAGAACTAAGCGTCACTTTTGTTTTCTTTTCGACCAACTATTTCATGGTGATAAAGGTGAGGCCTGAACTTGTTTGAGAAACTTGGTAGAAATTTGAGTAATTTTAAGTCCATCCACAAACAGGCCGAAGACTACAACCGGGTCTTCCTTTATTTGCCGGTTATGTAAGGAGAGGACTCTAATGAAAATATTCGCGTCATACACGACTTATCCTGTTTTTTAAGGACGATCACAGGAGTTCCATTCTAGATTATGGCTCAATCAAATCTTCACACGGAGACGGTGGTGATCGGAACCAGTACAGAGCAATGGCATCACACAGCTATTGAAAAAGCGCCATCTTCTGTTCAAGAAAATACGGTCGATCCTCATCAGTCGTGCCATTAGCAGACTTTCGTGTCAATCAGCGATTCCCTCTATTTTTTTAAACCGACAATAATGTAACGAATGTTTAGAATAATTCTTGTTGTGGATTACTTGCTCCAACTTGCCGTAGAATGCGTCCAAATGGCTCTTATCAGCTGCACAAGTCGGTGAGTAGCAGTTGATGATACTGACTTTCTTGTGATGCACAAGATGGAAATGAAAATGCCTAAGCGCGGTGATAGGATTTCGCATGTGGTGAAGTAGAGGCGTCTACTACAAATCCAACGCAACCAACATTTTGTAATGGAAATTTCCCTCCATGAATGACAAATATCCCGTAACCTTATTGCCAAACGTCGGTCTTCCTACTTTTTGTCCCTTGCTGGGCGATCACATGGAATCTGATTTGTGCAGCAATGTAAGGAAGAGCGTGAAGATCCACGTTTGAGGAGAGATGTGGCGTTATACGGACATAGCAAGGAGCAGTCTTCATGTAGTGTCGTATTCGTACTTGTTCTGTCCGTTTCCAGTGACGCCCTGTCTAAGTCGAGATTTGATTGCCGCTCACCGTTTGTCTCACCTCTCGACGTCATGGACGGGAGCATCCAATGTGCGGAGTACCGAGGCCGCAGATTTTCTGGTTTTGCCATTGTGACTTCGTGAAGTCCGAGCGTCCGCCTTAGCCGAAGGCTTCATCCAGTCGTCGCCACCGCATACAATCGCTGGCCGTTATGGATCAGACGGGATTTGCAACATCGCCACTAGTTTAGTACCAGAACGGTGATGATTGCTGGTACTGGTTTACTCTTAACTGAGGTTCCCGATCGAAACGTCGAACTCCTTTTCAGCTTGAGAGACCTTGCTGGGGAGATGAAAGCCATCTCTGTACATCGCAGTCCGACAACCAGGATCAACTCCCATCTACGATGAGGTGGTAAACAGTTGGAGAAGGGAGAGTTATTGGTTTCACTTTAATTAATAGACTTTTTCTTTTAATGAACGAGCCTATACGTGTTTAAATTTGAGGACCAAGCTGTTTCCACCCACGTGTGAGTGGATCATTTTGTGGTCACTTTGATAGGTCATCTCATCATGTACAATAAAGACACGTGCAGTAAAAAGAATCGCTGCTGAAAGCATAAACCATTCAAGGAAATTCAAGCGATAATCGATTAGAATAAGCAAGAACGATCACAATGCAAAGCAATCATCGCCAATTTCAAGCGATGGCTACCGTTTCCTGACCTTTTATAACGAATTGCCACTACTCACTTCCTCGAAAAAAAAAAGAAAAAAAGAAAAAAAAGAAAGAAAAAAGAAAGAAGAGCTAAAAAGTCTCAACAAAGAAGAGTATTTTTCAGACAATTTGGATCACTAACCACTCGTGGTTCTCCGCATTTATTTTCACATGTGCCACATTCCATCCACACTTCGTTTGTTTTGCCTGCAATCCGTAGCTTTTCATTACATAGCAGCCGTGACCACAGTTTATCAACTTTTCGTTCAATCTTCAAGAAATCCTACTTAAAGGTGATCTTTACAACTGATGTATGAAAATTGGTAGAAATGACGAGCAATACTTCTGATGTTTTCGTTCACCCTCCGAATGGAATTCCATGAAATCTTTCAAGTCTTATATATCAATTTCTTATTGGATATTAGATAGACGACTCACATTGATGCGTTTCACTCGACTCACTTACCACCTCTACTTCGTCGTCGTAAGTTTCGTTGATACAGTAACTGGTAGAAACATGAAGGATAATTACCTAAACGTCTTTTCCGCTTCTGATTATTGTATGTATACGATCGATTTCCCTACGATGTATTACAATGGCGAGCAGGGCGTTAACTAAAGAACCTGTTAGCAGTATGACATATAGGAGAGTGTATCATACCCAGGTTAATCTGTAGGAGTTCATACGGCATTTCAGTCAAGTAAATCTCGCAAAAATTAGAAAGTGTATGTAGAAACTGACCAGAGTAATGATTCGAAATGCCATAGTGATATAATAGACGCAAACTTTCCAACTGATGACTTTAAATACCCATCGGCAGGTGTGGCCCGATGAAGACGGGTTCTGCGCTGGTGTCCTAAGACAATGAATGCAGTTGTCGTTGTTGCTAGAGAAAACCTCAGTGATCGTATAGTGCTGTTTGGCGTTTCCCACCAGCAGATATAAATAACAGCACAATACCGAACCAAAGTTCTGTGCTGTCTCTGTCACCACCACCAATCAGTTTCAGAAGTACTCGTCAGACCATTAAAACCAACACAGACTGGTTGT